ATATAGAGAATTGCTGCTACAACACAGTTCTTTAACACTACTGAGGTCTTTGCATAGTTTGCCGGGATTAATGGGAAACTAAATATAGTTCAATGGGCAGTGTATCCTTCACTGTTGTTGTTCATTTGTTCAGTCGCTTCCGACTCTTCATGACCTCATGGACCAGTCCACGCCAGAGCTCCCTGTCGGCTGTCACCACCCTCAGCTCCTTCAAGGTCAAGCCAGTCACTTCAAGGATACCATCCATCCATCTTGCCATCGGTCGGCCCCTCTTCCTTTTAACTTCCATTTTCCCCAGCATCATTCTCTTCTCCAAGCTTTCCTGTCTTCTCATTATGTGGCCAAAATACTTCATATTTGCTTCTAATATCCTTCCCTCCAATGAGCAGTTGGGCTTCATTTCCTGAAGTATGGACTGGTTGGATCTTCTCGCAGTCCAAGGTACTCAACACCACAGTTCAAAAGCATCTATCTTCCTTTGCTCAGCCTTCCTTATGGTCCAGCTCTCACATCCATAGGTTATTACAGGGAATACCATTGTTTTGACTATGTGGATCTTCGTTGCCACTGTGATGTCTCTACTCTTCACTATTTTATCGAGACTGGTCATTGCTCTCCTAGCAAGAAGTAAATTAAAATTTGTGTGCCAGCTGCGCCCGTACCTTGGGAAGTCAGAATTGGCCACGGTGGTCCACGCTCTCGGTACATCTAGGATAGACTACTGCAACGCACTCTACGTGGGGTTGCCTTTGAAGACTGCTCGGAAGCTTCAAATAGTCCAACGAGAGGCAACCAGGTTAATAACTGGGGCGGCATACAGGGAGCATACAACTCCCATGTTACGCCAGCTCCACTGGCTGCCAGTTTGCTACCGGGCACAATTCAAAGTGCTGGCTTTGGCCTATAAAGCCCTAAATGGCCCCGGCCCAAATTACCTGTCCGAACGCATATCCCCCTATGAACCATCGCAGAAATTAAGATCCTCCGGGGAGGCCCTGCTTTCCGTCCTGCCATTGTCACAGGCACAATTGGTGGGGACGAGAGACAGGGCCTTCTCGGTGATTGCTCCCCGGCTATGGAACTCCCTTCCTGGTGAGATCAGGTCGCCCCCCTCCCTCCTGTCCTTTAGAAGGATGGTAAAAACTTGGCTGTGGGACCAAGTTTTCGGGACAGGGCAATAAAGCGGTAATATGAAAGATGACCTGGCCAATTAGACTTGACGCGGATGACTAGGATGGTTTGAAATTGTGTATTTTAATATTTGGATAAATGTTTTTTTAATATTTATGTATGTGAATATGAATTTGTGTCCCAGCATTGAATGTTTGCCGTGTATATGCTGTGCTCCACCCTGAGTACCCTTTGGGGTGAGAAGGGCAGAATATAAATGTTTTACATCTATATAAATAAAAATGTAATGCTCGTTTGTGGGATTAACAGAACTCAAAAACCACGGGACGAATTGACACTAAATTTGGACACGAGACACCTAACAGTCCAATTTATGTCCTCCACTCAAAAAAAACGATTTTGTCATTTGGGAATTGTTGTTGCTGGGATTTATAGTTTCCCTTCAATCAAAGAGCATTCTGAACTCCACCAATGATGGAATTGAACCAAACATGGCATACAGGGCTCCCATGACCAACAGAAAAAAACTGGAAGGGTTTGGTGGACATTGACCTTGAGTTTGGGAATTATAGTTCACCCACATCCAGAGAGCACTGTGGACTCAAACAATGATGGATCTGGACCAAACTTGGCATGAATATTCCATATGCCCAAATATGAACACAGATGGGAGTTTGGAGAAATAGACCTTGACATTTGGGATTTGTAGTTACTGGGATTTATAGTTCACTACAATTAAAGAGCATTCTGAAACCCACAAATGACAGAAATGGGGCAAACTACCCACACAGAACCCCCATGACCAACAGAAAATACTTAAGGCCATCCAGTCCAACTCTCTTCACCAGGGCAAGAAAATGTAATCAGAGCCCTCCTGACAAAGAGCCATCCCGTCATAAATGTAGATAGATATGATTCTCACACACACACACACAGATAGTATCATAGATTTGAAAGAGACCCTTGAAGAAGGACTATGATATGTTGCATATTCCAGAGTAGGCAAACCAGACACTCTCCACATCAACACTGACAAAGAAACAACAAGAAATACTGTTTACACACAAGCATAAAGGAATTTCATATGTTAGAAACCAACACTTTCTCATTACTTTATTTTCCAAATCACCAGACTGGGCCACAGCAACGCGTGGCAGGGGACAGCTAGTAAATAAATAAATGTTTTCTGATTTCCTGGCTGCAGTCTGGGTCTGCAGTAATCTTTGCACCTAGAAATACAACGTCTGTCACTGCCGCCATGTTTTCTCCCTCTATTTGCCATTTATCAATCAGTCTGGTTGCCATAATCTTGGTTTTTTTTATGTTTAACTGCACCCCAGCTTTTGCACTTTCTTCTTTCACTTTGATTAGAAGGCTCCTCGGCTCCTCGCTTTCGGCCATCAAAGTGGTATCATCTGCATATCTAAGGTTGTTAATGTTTCCTCCAGCAATTTTCACCCCAGCCTTGGATTGGTCAAGCCCCGCACATGGCATGATGTGTTCTGCATACAAGTTGAATAGGTAGGGTGAGAGTATACAACCCTGCTGCATGCCTTTCCCAATCTTGAACCAGTCTGTTGTTCCATGGTCAGTTCTTACTGCTGCTACTTGGTCCTTATACGATTTATTTATTTATCGTGTCATCAGCAACCATACCATTGTATTACATTTCTAACAGAACAAAACAAACACACAGATTAAAAACCCCCACAGATTTTGCAGACAAAATACAACATTTGTGACTTTGGTAGTTGATTAAATGTCCTTTGACCAGTATCTGGCCACTTGGAGTGCCTCTGGTGTTGCCGCAAGAAGGTCCTCCATTGTGCATGTGGCAGGGCTCAGGTTGCATTGCAGCAGGTGGTCTGTGGTTTGCTCTTCTCCACACTCGCATGTCGTGGATTCCACCTTGTAGCCCCATTTCTTAAGGTTGGCTCTGCATCTGGTGCCAGAGCGCAGTCTGTTCAGTGCCTTCCAAGTCGCCCAGTCTTCTGTGTGCCCAGGAGGGAGTCTCTCATTTGGTATCACCCATTGATTGAGGTTCTGGGTTTGAGCCTGCCACTTTTGGACTCTCGCTTGCTGAGGTGTTCCAGCGAGTGTCTCTGTAGATCTTAGAAAACTATTTCTAGATTTAAGTCGTTGACGTGCTGGCTGATACCCAAACAGGGGATGAGCTGGAGATGTCTCTGCCTTGGTCCTTTCACTATTGGCTGCTACTTCCCGGCGGATGTCAGGTGGTGCAATACCGGCTAAGCAGTGTAATTTCTCCAGTGGTGTAGGGCGCAGACACCCGTGATAATGCGGCATGTCTCATTAAGAGCCACATCCACTGTTTTAGTGTGGTGAGATGTGTTCCACACTGGGCATGCATACTCAGCAGCAGAGTAGCACAGCGCAAGGGCAGATGTCTTGTGTCTAGTTGTGATCCCCAGGTTGTGCCAGTCAGCTTTCGTATGATGTTGTTTCTAGCGCCCACTTTTTGTTTGATGTTCAGGCAGTGCTTCTTGTAGGTCAGAGCACGGTCCAGAGTGACTCCCAGGTATTTGGGTGTGCTGCAATGCTCCAGTGGGATTCCTTCCCAGGTAATCCTCAGAGCTCGGGATGCTTGTCTGTTCTTAAGGTGAAAGGCACATGTCTGTGTTTTAGATGGATTAGGGATCAGTTGGTTTTCCCTGCAATAGGCAGTAAGAGCACCTAGAGCTTCAGAGAGCTTCTGTTCAACCATCTCAAAGCTCCCTGCTTGAGCGGTAATGGCACGATCATCAGCATAGATGAAACTCTCTGTCCCTTCTGGCAGTGGCTGGTCATTTGTGTAGATGTTGAACATGGATGGAGCAAGCACGCTCCCCTGAGGCAGGCCGTTCTTCTGTTTCCGCCATCTGCTTCTCTGGTCCTGGAACTCAACAAAAAAGCTCCTGTTTTGTAGCAGGTTTCCTATGAGGCGGGTGAGGTGGTCGTCCTTTGTGATATTATACATTTTTCTCAGGAGGAGGCGGTGGTTCACAGTATCATAGGCTGCTGACAGGTCTATGAAGACAGCTCCTGTGATCTGCTGCCTTTCAAAGCCATCTTCTATGTGCTGAGTCAGGTTCAGCACTTGCGATGTGCAGCTTTTGCCTTTTCTGAAGCCAGCTTGCTGTGGGATCAGACAGGGATCTATATTTTCCATAATTCTATGCAAAATAAGTCTCTCCAGAACTTTGTAGAGGTGGCACAACAGGGAGATTGGTCTGTAGCTTTTTGGGTCATTACGGTCTTTGCCTGGCTTCAAGATGGCGATGACTCTTGCTTTCCTCCAGATTTTGGGGATCTGACAGGATGCAGTGCAGTTGTTCATCAGCTCCAGCAGCCAGCGCCTTGCTTTGGGACCAAAGTTCTTGATTTGTTCCATCCGTAGATCATCCAGGCCAGCTGCTTTGCCATTCTTACATTTGTTGAGAGCCATGTCCAATTCAGTAGATGTAAAGGTGTCCTTACATCTACCTTACAGTAGATGTCCTTATCCTAACACCACAATATACCACCAAAGAAGATTCTACTCTGACGTGGTCTCCCCATACCAGTAAGAACTTGCCACAATTTATTATGATCCACATAGTCAAAGGCTTGAGAATAGTCAATACAACAGAAATAGATGCTTTTTCTGAAACTCGCTGCCTTCCTCCATAATCCATCCTGATCCAGAGAGTGGCCTGCCTCACAGGGCTGTTGTGGAGAGGCCTGAAAGCACGGCTCTCCCACCTCATCCTCCTCCTCCTCACCCCCTCCCACCTTTCCTCCCTAGCCCCGCCCCTTCCTCCCGAAGCCCCGCCCCCAACCGACCACCGCCCCCTCCTCACTCGGGCCCGCTCACCCTTCTTTCCTCTCACCGTCATAATAGTAGCAGACTTTCCGCTTGGTCCCCTGAGTCAGCGCCATCTTCCTTCTCCCGCCGCCGCCTCCACAGCCCGGGCCCGAATGAGTCCCGCCACGCAACCGAGCCAGCCTTCACCACCGTCCCCGCCCCTTTTGGACCACCTCAGCCAATCACAAGTGGAGAAGCTTCTCCAACGGCCAATGAGAAACTTCTGGAGGCGGGCGGTTTTGAGACAACAAGTTAGATCGAGCAGCGAGGAGTTACTTGGACTGTACCATTTCCCTCCCAAAAGGGGAGATATAGATAAAGAGTGTACCATTTCCTCTCAAGACCACAAATGACTTTGCCTCCCCCCACTAACGAAATGGAAGCTCCCACAAAGACTGAGTTATTGAGACGGAGCGTACCATTATTCCTTCGGAGGTGGGTGTTAGTAAAAACTTGGGGGACGTCCAGCATGCCTAATTATGGGCGTTGTAGTCCCAAAATAACTTATTTTGGATTGTTTGAATCTCAGTTTTTCCTCAGTCAAATGTATTTCAGCACCCAAAAAAGTGGATTTTTTTAGGATTATGGAAAACATACCTTTGAAATGATCAAACCAGGTGAACTCAGGATCTGATAGCATTGACCCATAGCAGTGGAAGTGGTATCAAACTGCATTAAGTCTACAGTGTGTAAATGCACGCTTGATCTCACCCCAGAGAGCAACATTTAAAAATTAAGGAGAGAAAAAATAATTCATTTTTTAATTAATTTTCCAAAAAATGTAACTGAAATCTGACAGAAATAATAAATTTGAAAAGGAAAAATATAAAATAAAACTGTAGGGATGTATGCTAGAAGCTGCAAGCTTCGTGGAGAACGAGCATGAGCAGAGTGCATTTCCATGGTTAAGTCTTGGTAACGAAAGTGGCATTTTACACAACATCCTTTACACACTTTAGAATGACAGAATCATAGAATCCTAGAGTTGGAAGAGACTTCATGGGCCATCCAGTCCAACCCATGAAAATTGCATTCAAAGCACCCCCGACAGATAGCCATCCAACCACTGCTTAAAAGCCTCCAAAGAAGGAGCCTCTACCACACTCTAGGGCAGAGAGTTCCACTGTTGAACAGCTCTCACAGTCAGGAAGTTCTTACTAATATTCAGATGGAATCTCCTTTCTTTGCAGGAGAGATTGGCAAAGGTCTACATATTGGCATTAATGCAGTGTGGCATCACTTGAACCAAGATGGGTCAAGTCCATGGGATCTTGAGAGTTGTAGTTTCACAAGGTCTTTAGCCTTCCCTGCCAATGAATACTGGTGCCTTCCCAAACTACAAATCCCAGGATCCCTTAGCATTGAGCCTTGGCAGTTCAAGTGGGTCAAGCTGCATTCATTCTGCAGTGTAAATCAGTCACGGGCAAACTTTGGCCCTCCAGGTGTTTTGGACTCCAACTCCCACAATTCCTAACAGCCGGTAGGCTGTTAGGAATTGTGGGAGTTGAAGTCCAAAACACCAGGAGGGGCGAGGTTTGCCCATGCCTAGTGTCAAGCTACAACTTCCTGGATTCAATAGCATTAAGCCACAGCAAGTAAGGTAGAGCCACACTGCATTCATTCAGCAGTTTAGATGTACCCAGTCTATATATAATATATATGTCAAATTATGTAGCTATGTATGTTTACATGTTTGTACCACAAAATTCGTTGCTAGGTGAAGTGGCCCCCTGTGATGTCACTGGACTGGCTCCTGCTAGGTGAAGCGGCTCTCTGTCATCACTGGGAAAGAAAGGTGACATGTATATAGGGGAAGGGAAGAAGGAAGGAAGGAAGAAAAAAGAAAGGAGAAGAGAGGGGGAAGAAGTGAAAGAAGAAGAGAGGGAAGGGGAAGAAAGAAAAAGGAAGCAAGACAAAAAGAATGAAAGGATAAGGAAGGAAGGGAGAGGGAAGAAAGAAAAACAAAAGAAGAGAAAAAGGAGGGAAAGGAGAACAAATGGAAAAAAGAGGGAAGAAAGAAAAACGAAGGAAGACAAAAAGAAGGGAATGGGGAAGGAACAGAGGGAGGGGAGAAAGAAAAAGGAATGAAGGAAGAGAAAAAGGAAAGAGGCAGGGGAGAAATAAAAAGGAAGGAAGAGAAAAAGAAAGAAAAGGATAAGGAAGGGAGGGAGAGGGAAGAAAGTAAAACGAAGGAAGAAAAAAAGAAGGGAAAGAGGAACAACTGGAGGGAGAGGGAAGAAAGAAAAACGAAGGAAGACAAAAAGAAGGACATGGAGAAGGAACGGAGGGAGGGGGAGAAAAAGGAATAAAGGAAGAGAAAAAGGAAGGGGTCGGGGGAAGAAAGAAAAAGGAAGGAAGATAAAAGAAGTGAAAGGAGGAGGGAAGAAAGAAAAAAGAAGGAAAAAATAAAAGGAAAAGAGAAGCGAGGGAAGGGAGAACGAAAAAGGAAGGAAAATAAAAAGAAAGGAAAAAAGAAGGGAGGAAGATGGAAGAAAGAAAAGGGAAGAGAAAGGAAAGGAAAGGAGAAGCAAGGGAAGGAGGGGGAGGAGAAAGTAAAAGGAAGGGAGAGAAAAATAAAGGAGAGGGGAAGGGAGGGAGAGAGGGGAGAAAGAAAATGGAAGGAGGAGAAAAAGAAAGGAGAGGGGAAGGGAGGGACTGAGGCTGAAGAAAGAAAAAGGAAAGAAGGAAGATAAAGAAAAGGAGAAGGGAGAGTGGGAGAAAGAAAAAGCATGGAAGAGGGAAAAAGGGAAAGGAGAAGACAGGGAGGGGGAAGAAAGTAGAAGGAAGGAAGGAAGGAAGGAAGGAAGGAAGGAAGGAAGGAAGGAAGGAAGGAAGGAAGGAAGAAAAAAGCAAAAAAGCAAAAAAGCAAAAAAGGAGATGAGATGGAGGGGAAAGAAAGAAAAAGGAATGAAGGAAGGAAGGAAGGGAAAGGAAAAAGGAAAGAAGATGGCAGGGAAGGAGTGTGAGAAAGAAGGAAGGAGGAAGAGAAAAGAAATTGAAAGGAGACGAGATGGAGGGGAAAGAAAGAAAAAGGAAGGGAGTGAGGGAAGAAGGAAGGGAGGGAGGGAGGAAAAAAAGGAAAGGAGATGGCAGGGAAGGAGTGTGAAAAAGAAGAAAGAAAGAAAAGAAAATGAATGGAGAAGAGAGGGAGGGGGAAGAAAGAGGAAGGAAGGAAGGAAGGAAGGAAGGAAGAAAAAGGAAAAGAGGGAGGGGAAAGAAAGAAAAAGGAAGGAAGAGAAAGGTAAGGAGAAGGGAGGGAGTGTAAGAAAGAAAGGTAGGAAGAGGAAAGGAAAATAAGGGAGGGAGAGAAAGATAAGAGAAAAGAAGAGAAAAAGAAAGGAGAGGGGAAAGAAGGCAGGGAAGGAGAGAAAGAAAGGTTGGATGGATGGAAGGAAGGAAAAGGAGGGAAGGTATAAGGGGAGGAAAGAGAAAGAAGGGAAAAAAGCAGCGAAACCTGGGCAACACTAATACATTACTAAACTATAACTCTCAGGACCCCGTAGCCATGGCAATTTAAGCAGGGTCAAACTGCATTCATTCTACAGTGTAGATGTACCCAATCTTTCACTGAACGAGAAGTCCCAAGACCCTATTAAGCATTGAGCCATGGCAGTGAAAGTGACGTCGAACAGCATTCATTCCACAGTGCAGATGCACTCTAGGACCAAGAGGATGGGCTTCCTGCCCTAAAAGATCCCGTCCGCCATGGGTTCCAGATAAATGGGTTCCATCCAGCATCCTTTCAATGATGCCACCCCAGGAGGGAGCAAATGATGGGGAGATGTTGTCTTAAGGTTCAGGCAGTGGCCCTCCATCTGTTCAGACCTGCTGCTCATATTGCCCTTCAGTGGCAGTGAAAAAGTCCTCCAGGACCCCTTTCAGGAACTCAAAGGTGGGCCGCTGCTCGGGGCTGTCCTTCCAGCACTGGAGCATCAGCTGGAAAAGCTCAGGTGGGCAGTTCTCCGGGGGTGGCATCCGGTAGCCCCGCTCCAGGTTCTGGATGACCTCTGGGTTGCTCATCCCTGGAGACACAAGGAAAGGATGAGGAAAAGTGCTGGAGGCAAATACAGGTCATCCCTGAGTTACAAACATCTGACTCCTAGAGAAGAACAGGGCTGGGACAACATGAAGTGAGAGACATGTACCTCTCGAAAGGGAAATCCATTCCTAAAAGAGTTATTATCAGGGGGGGAAGGGGTCTCCACTGAAGCTTTAGGTCAGTCCTTGTTTCCACAACAAGCCACATTTTCTAAAATCCAATTCTCACAGGGACAGAAAATAAAACAGAATCTGTTGCAGTAGTTCTCAACCTGGGGTCCCCAGATGTTTTGGACCTACAACTCCCAGAAATCCCAGCCAGTTTACCAGCTGTTAGGATTTCTGGGAATTGAAGGCCAAAAATATCTGGGGACCCCAGGTTGAGAACCACTGACCATGTAAAAATCAGTTGGTGAGTGTGTTAACTGAAAAATGCAAAGCATGAAGCTGATTGGTTGGGCTACACCCAAGAGACTAGCTGAGCCAGGGAGTTTTGGCAACAGCTACATATTTAAGCTGTTAGCTGTGCAAGAGCTTGCAGAGAAACAGATTTTGCTTCTGAGCTGCTGGAAGAGGGTCACTTAAGGACCATTTTGAATCTCTCTCACAGGACATAGTGTGAGTCAATGCAACTGTTTACACGACTTTATATATGTTGTTCTTTACTGATCATCTGCATGACATATCTTTTCCCTGGCAAGACAGCATTTGGACTGGTAAAAAGTGAACTACGCCTGATTTTCATTCCACCACAGAATCTTCTGAACAGGGGCACAGACAGCAAAGGAAACACCACAAGAGTGTGAACCCTTCCAAATGTGATCCAAAGCTTAGATAGATGTCTAGATAGATGTCTAGATAGATGTCTAGATAGATAGATAGATAGATAGATAGATAGATAGATAGATAGATAGATAGATAGGCAGGCTGGGGTTACACTTACAGAATGCCCCTGTTCCAATTTACAAACTAATTCAACTTAAGAACAAACTTACAGAACCTCTCTTGTCTTTAACTTTGGGACTGCCTGTACAGTAAACACTCAGGCCCCTTCTACACTGCCATATAAAGTCCACATTATCTTATTTGAACTGGATTATATGGCAGTGTAGGCCCTTTCCACGCAGTTGAATAAAATCCCACAAGATCTGCTTTGAACTGGAATATATGGCAGTGTGGACTCAGATAACTAAGTTCAAAGCAGATATTGTGGGATTTTTTTTTTTGTCTCGATATTCTGGGTTATATGACTGTGTGGACGGGCCCTCGGGCCCCTTCTACATTGTCAGATAATCCATATTATCAAGTCAGATAATCCACATTATCTGCCTTGGTCTGTATTATATGAGTCTACACTGCCATATAATCCAAAAATTGATCATCTGGATTTTATAGAGCAGTGTAGATCCAGCCTCTCAGGCCCCATCTGCATTGTCATATAAAATCCAGATTATCCGCCTGTGTTTTACTGCTGAAAAGGTCCAACCTGGATAAGGAATACGGCCATAAGTGATGATTTCGGTCAGCAGGATCCCAAAGGACCAGACATCAGATTTGATGGTGAACGTCCCATAATTGATGGCCTCCGGAGCTGTCCACTTAATGGGGAACTTGGCACCTGGAATAAACAAGATTATTATTATTATTATTATTATTATTATTATTATTATTATTAAAAATGAATTTTGAATTCTACCCTTTTTGAATTCCGGCCACAAGAAGGCACTCTGCCTCCATTAGAGTGTCTTTTGAAACTTTTCTATGACACAGGAGGGGAAAATATATTGTTTTGCATATCCTTGTGAAAAGTGTCACAATCTGAGCAAAAAAACCCAGTTGTATTGTTGGGAGGTGGTTTTGGAACAACTCAGGTAACTTCGGACAGAATAAAATAAATGCCTCTGGGCATGAACAGAGTGTAATTAATGCAGCTCTGCTTGAACTACTATAACTCAATGCTACAGAATCTTGGGAGCTGTAGTTTTGCATGATCTTCAGCCTTCTCTGCCAAAGAGGGCTGGTGCCTCATTAAATTCCAATTCCCAGGCTTCCATAGCATTGAGCCCTGGAAGTTAAAGTGTGGTCAAACTGCAGTAATTCTATAGTGCAGACCCACCTTCCTGCGCCGTGTATTCATCATCCTCGATGAGCCGGGCCAATCCGAAATCGGCAATTTTGCAGCAAATCGCCTCCGACACTAAGATGTTTGCAGCTCTTAGATCCCGATGGATGTAGTTTTTCTTCTCCAGGAAAGCCATGCCTTCTGCGATCTTTATGGGGAAAGAGGGTGTGTAAAGGGAGATAAGGGTCTTTTATTGCATGTGACAGGGGGCAAACAGTATTTTGGCGCCCCCCCCAACCAATCATTGATATATATTTTCTGTTTGTCGTGGGAGTTCTGTGTTCCATATTTGGATCAATTCCATCATTGGTGGAGTTCAGAATGCTCTTTGATTGTAGGTGAACTATACATCCCAGTAACTACACTTGCCGCACTTGCTCCTTTGCCTGGCCCGCTTTGGGTCCGGAGGCGTGCCTGAAGACGTGCACCAAAAGTCACCTCTTCTCCTGACTTTCTCCTCAGCCATTGGGACCAAGAGAGAGAGAGAGACAGAGGTGGAGATGCCCACCTTTCCTGAAGGTAGGCGCAAAAACAAAGGAGGGAGCGGAGGTGGGAGATACCTCCAGCCGGAGGGGCTCTCTCTCTCTCTTGGTCCCAATGGCTGAAGAGAAAGTCAGGAGAAGAGGCGACTTTTGGTGCGCACACTGGGGTCTTCAGACATGCCTCCGGACCCGAAGTGGGCCAGGCGCGGCGGCTCCGCCCCTTGGCCCACCCGCGGATTGGGGAGAGGAGAGGAGGCGGGTGGAGAGCCGGGGGATCGGGAAAGGGAGCCGGTCATGGGGAAGGGATCGAACGCGGAGAACAATTGAGCACCGGCTCTGCTCGCGCACCCGGTGGCCTTGTGGAGCAGGAATGAGAGTGGCTAGGTGAGGCTCAAGGGCCCGGCCCCTTTGGGAAGAGGATCGCCCGGCAGCGAGGCAAGAAAGCCGAGGCTCCCCCCGGACTGCTAGGGCTGTTGTGAGCTGAGGGGGCGCTCCTCAAGTGGTGGTCAAGGGGCATTTACAGAGGCGCCTCTGCGCCCCTGGCAAAAAAAAGTGTTCTGCGACCGCTTACTTTGCGTAATGGACGAGCCGCCCCTGACTAGAGAACAGGTTTATTGAAGTATTTGAAGCAAACAACTGACTACTGAGAGGTACATACGCGTAATTTGTTTCTGAAGCACAGACTTATTAAGCAAATGGTTTCTTTAGAAGGAGTAACTTTTCCTTAACATGAGCTACTTTCCTCACACTATCCTGTAATATGTGACAGTGCGTTCCTTTGGCCAGCCGCCCCTGGCTGCCTTCCAGAGTATCTAGGTTTCTTCTAGACTACTCTGACCTATAAGGAAATAAACCCACTTGTATTCTGTCCTAATACAAGTAAACAAGCCTTCACTTTGACTGCCCTAGTCAAGCTATACAGAAGCACTTGCTCTTTAATTATTCCCTAACAGGCTAATTCCTAGCTCACTAAGAAACTCTCTTCTCCCTGTCTGAAATCCTAATCTTTTTTCTACTAGATCAAATCCTTCTCTCTCCCTTCTGTCAGAAATGACAGCCTATTTACACTCTCCTTCAACTCCTCCCCTTGGGGTCTGAACCAATCAGGAGTTAGCTGACTCCTCCCCTTGCCTCTCTGCCTATACCATCATGTCAGCCATCCTGAGTTGCCTTCCCAACATGGAGGCCAGCTCACTGACTTCCAGGCTTCCAAGAAAAGGTATGAGTTCATTACAGGGTGCCTTGTTGAAATAACTATATTTTTACAGTCTCAAAAGCCCTCCCAGGAATGTGTAGCTCATAATGTATGTTTGGTTTGATTGAAATGATGGGGTGACAACTCCCATTTTGAGACAGGGGATGTGGCTGATGGACGCTGTAGTCAGGAACATTCAGGCAAACTAGGCAAACTTGCTCCCCCGTCACAAAAAAATGCTGACAGAAAAGAGTCCGTCTACACTACATAGAATTAATACCTGAGCAGACATGTCCAGCAGTTTATAGATGGTCAACCGGCTGCCTTCGGGGCCTTTGAGGAAATCCACCAAGTTCCCTATGGAGAGGGAAAGAAATCATATAGTAAAATGAGTAATACAGGCATGGGGGTGTCCACAATTCCTCTGAGCAAATGCAGAGTGCTTTTTATAAAGCTGATATCGCCAAGAGTTTAGTTTATTTTGGGGAATGCAACATGAGAAATGTAATAATATGAATATTAACGACAATCCATATTATTGTTATTATTATTATTTATATCCCACTTTTTCTCTCCATGCAAGACTCAAAGTGGCTTTCAATTAAAAGCATTGCAATACAACTTAAAATACACACATATATATATACACTATTAAACATCATCAATATTAAAAACAATTCAGGTTAAAACCATAAAAGCATTGTAAGCTGTGATGCAGACATGGGGGTGTCCACAGTGCCTCTGAGCATATGCAGAGTGCCTTTTATAAAGTGGTGGGTGTTGGAATTCAAACCCACACTGCCCAAGTCTCAAGTCATCAACAAGGAGCATTTAGTTTAGTATAGGCTGAAGGAATCTAAGTCAACAAGATCTTAGTTTCTTTTAAGGACTACGCATTTAGAAATGCAATAACAATAATAACAATAACAACAAGTATAATAGTAGTAGTAGTAGTAATAATAATATGGTCCATAGCATTGGAAGTTATGATGCAATCATGGAGGTGTTCCACAGTGTCTCTGAGCAAATGCAGAGTGCTTTTTTATAAAGTTTAAGTCAACAAGAACTTACGGTTTGTTTTTTGGGGGGTGGGGGAAGACTACAACTCTAGAAATGCAATAATAACCATAACAACAATAGTAGTAGTAATAATAATAATAATATGGTCCATAACATTGAAAGTTTTGATGCAGACATGGGGGTGTCTATTGTGCCTCTGAGCATATGCAGAGTGCCTTTTCTAAAGCAGTGGGTAAGTCACAGGCCCTTTCTATGATGTCATATAATCTGGATTATCAAAGCAGATAATCCACATTATCTGCTTTGAACTGGATTATATGGCCGTGTAGACTCATGCAATCCAGTTCGTATCAGATAATGTGGATTATCTGCTTTGATAATCTGAACTAGATGGCAATGTAGATGCAATCATAACAACAATAACTATAATAATAATAGCAGTAGCAATATGATTCATAGCACTGGAAGTTAATCTGCATCAATTCTATTATTATTATTATTATTATTATTATTATTATTATTATTAGCTTTATTTTTATTATCCCGCTATTCTCCCCATAGGGGAGACATAGGAACTCATGGCAGCTCACACAAACAAGACACAATAGAATTTAAAAACAAAGTGAATAAAGTGGGTTGTTGTAGGTTTTTCTCGGGCTATATGGCCATGTTCTTGAGGCATTTTCTCCTGACGTTTCCCCTGCATCTATGGCAAGCATCCTCAGAGGTAGTGAGGTCTGTTGGAACTAGGAAAAAAGGTTTATATATCTGTGGAATGACCAGGGTGGACAAAGGACTCTTGTCTGCTGGAGCTAGGTGTGAATGTTTCAACTGACCACCTTGATTAGCATATATGGCTTGGCAGTGCCTGGAGGAATCTTTTGTTGAGAGGTGATTAGATGTCCCAGATTGTTTCCTATCTGTTGTTTTGCTGTTGTAATTTTAGAGTTTTTTAATACTGGTAGCCAGATTTTGTTCATTTTCATGGTTTCCTCCTTTCTGTTGAAATTGTCCACATGCTTGTGGATTTCAGTGGCTTCTCTGTGTAGTCTGACATGGTGGTTGTGAGAGTGGTCCAGCATTTCTGTGTTCTCAAATAATATGCTGTGTCCAGGTTGGTTCATCAGGTGCTCTGCTCTGGCTGACTTCTCTGGTTCCTGAAACGTCAGGAGAGAATGCCTCTAGACCATGGCCATATAGCCCGGAAAAACCTACAACAACCCAGTGATTCCAGCCATGAAAGCCTTCGACAATAGATTAAAGTGAATACATCATATAAATGTTTCTGCCAGGTGTATAAAAGTTAAAAAAAATAATTAAAATGAAGTAAAATGGAATTAAAAGCACATTTAAAAACTAGATAGCCTCCTCTCCCAGTTTACTGCACTCTGCACTAAATGCCAGTAATAATAAATTTAGAGGAACTCGTATATTTCTGGAACTAGTGGCAATGGAGCCCAGAGTCTTTGAAAGGCAGGAAACCACTCCCGGATCCCCATCTATTTCTGCAACTTTGCAGCGATGTGTCACAACAGTCTTTCACTTCCTTCACTTCCTCTGCTGCCCTGGACCAAGTTCAGCAAAATTGGGTCCCGGCCTCTATTTGGCAAAGATACTTCCAAAATAACTCTCTTGGCTCTTGATGGAGGAAGGAGAGCAGAAAATAGACCATTATAGGTGCATCTACACTGCAGAATTAATGCAGTTTGATAACCACTTCAACTACCATGGGATCCTGGGGCTGGATCTACATGACCATATGATCCAGAACATCAAAGCAGAAAATCCACATTATCTACTTTGAACTGGATTATATGAGGCCCCATCTACACTGCCATATAGCATCCAGATTATCTGCTTTGAACTGGATTACATGGCAGGGTAAACTCATATAACTGAGTTCAAAGCAGATAATGTGGATTATATGGCAGTTTAGAAGGAGCCTCATATAATCCGATTCAAAGCAGATAATGTGGATTATATGGCAGTTTAGAAGGGGCCTCATACAATCCAGTTCAAAGCCGATAATGTGGATTATATGGCATTGTAGAAGAGAACTCATATAATCAAGTTCAAAGCAGATAATGTGGGTTATCTGATTTAATAATCCAGATTATATGGCAGTGTAGATCCAGCCTGAGGCCCCTTCTACATTGCCATATAATCGAAGCAGATAATTCAGATTATCTGATTTTAACTAGATTATATGAGGCCCCTTCTATACTGCCATATAAAATCCAAATTGTCCAGTTTGATCTGGATTATATGGTAGTGTAGAAGGGCTGAGTCTACACTGCCAAATAATCTAGTTCAAATCTGATAATCTGGATTTTATATGGCAATGTGGAAGGAGCCATAGATAGTGCCTAGGTTGACTGTCCCAACAATGAAAGGGGAACCAGTCACCACTGATAGAGACACACAAATCTAATTCAAGTTTAGCACCTTGGATGGATCCAATAAAATTCAGATTAATGCCCAGAGTAGGTTGACCACATCAAAGCCTAAAGGAGCATTATTCACCATTGATAGAATTGCCTAAAACTATTACCAGGCTCGGTGCCTAGAATCACAGAATGGAGTTGGAAGAGACCACAAGGGCCAACTAGTCCAGCTCCCTGTTGGGATGGTCAGTCCTGGATGGATCCATTCCAATTTGGACTTATGCATGGAGTGGGTCGGTTGTCCCAATGACAAAAGGGCACCAGTCACCATTGCAAGAGACAAGCAAAACTTTGTGAGGCTCAAAAACCTTGGGTGGATCCATTAAAGTTCGGACTAATGCCTGGAGCGGGTTGGCCATCCCACCAACAAAGGGGAGGCCAGTTGCCATTGTAGAGAGACACAAAACTATTACACATGTCACACAATTTGAAAAGAATTCTGTTCCTGGTTTAAATGTGTTATTTCCTGTTTAATTGTGCAGGCCTTACTTGGCAACGTCGTCTGTGCGCATTCAGAAGATCTACAAGCCACTCTAAACACCTTCGCAGAAGCATATGAGAAGCTCGGCCTGCCATTGAACATCGAGAAAACCAAAGTGCTGTTCCAGCAGACACCAGCCAACCCCTCTCCAATGCCAGCGAGACAGCTTAATGGTGTAACATTAGAAAATGTTGATCATTTCCGCTACCTTGGCAGCCACCTCTCCACTAAAGTCAACATCGACACCGAAATACCACACCGCCGGAGCTCTGCGAGTGCAGCATTTTTCCGAATGAAGCAGAGAGTGTTTGAGGACAAAGACATCCATAGGGATACCAAGGTGCTTGTCTATAAAGCTATTGTCCTCCCAACCCTGCTATATGCCTGCGAAACGTGGACTGTCTACATGCAACTCCTGGAACGATTCCATCAGCGCTGCCTCTGGAAAATCCTGCAAATCTCTTGGGAAGACAGGCAGACAAACGTCAGCGTGCTGGAAAAAGCAAAGACCACCATCATTGAAGCGATGGTCCTCCGCCATCAGCTCCGCTGGACCAGTCACGTTGTCCGGATGCCCGACCACCGTCTCCCAAAGCAGTTGCTCTACTCCGAACTCAAGAACGGAATACAGAATGTTGGTGGACAGGAAAAAAGATTGAAAGATGGGCTAAAAGCCAACCTTAAAAACTCTGGCATAGACACTGAGAACTGGGAAGCCCTGGCCCTTGAGCACTCCAGCTGGAGGTCAGCTGTAACCAGCAGTGCTGCAGAATTTGAAGAGGCACGAATGGAGGGTGAAAGAAACGTGCCAAGAGGAAGGCACGTCAAGCCAACCCCGACCGAGACCGCCTCCTACCTGGAAACCAATGCCCTCATTGTGGGTGAAGATGCAGGTCAAGAATAGGGCTCCACAGCCACCTATGAACCCACCCCCAGGACACCGAACTTGGAGGACTATCATCCTCGGACTACGAGGGATCGCCTAAGTAAGTAAGTACTTGGGTGGATCCATTCAAGTTCAGACTAATGCCCAGACTGGGTTAGCCATCTCAAGTATGGAAGGGACTCCGGTCGCCATTGCTAGAGTCACACAGAACAGACTGCAAAAAGTAAGAAATGTTGTTTGATCGTGTCACCTTTCTCCATGAACTCTGTGATGATGTACATGGGCCTCTGGGTAACCACCGCATAGAGGCGCACCAGGCGAGGGTGACGCAGCTTCTTCATAAGGTTGGCCTCCGCCAAGAAGGCTTCAGGGGACATGCTGCCCTGCTTCAGGCTTTTGATGGCCACCTTGGTGTGGCCGTTGTAAATCCCTATCAAGGGAGACAGAGCAATCCGGTCAAACATTGGAAAAGAAGAAAATTGTATTTTCTAGCCAGCAGACACCACCAGCAATCCATCAGGATGACAAAGGCCCCTTCCACACAGCTGTATAAAATCCATATTGAACTGGATTATATGGTAGTGTGGACTCAGATAATCCAGTTCAAAGTAGATATTGTGGATGATCTGCCTTGATATTCTGGGTTATATGGCTGTGTTGAAGAGCCCTTTGATGATCTAGATTATCAGAGCAGATGATCCACAGTATCTGCTTTGAATTAGATTATATGAGGCTGGGTCTTCACTGCCATTTTTTTTTTTTTTACTTTATTTATATACCGCTTTTCTCAGCCCTCAGGCAACTCAAAGCAGTGAACAACATCGATACAAAAAATCACGAGACAAGTATAGGGCAATTAAAAACAATTGTAACATAAATCATTAACATCAGAATAACAATCATTAGCGCCTCAACAGTAAAATCAGAATCCAGTCTCATCATCTATTATTCCATTCCTATGTTCAATTACACTGTTTAATCAAATGCTTGTTCGAACAGCCAGGTTTTCACATCCAGATTATCTTTTTTTAAATGAATTTTTATTTTTACAATACAAAAAAATACATACCGTGTACACACAAAACATTTACAATTCCCACCACCAACAAGAGGATTATTATCTTTCACATATTCATTTCTTTTTGAGACAATCATTATATCTTTATCTTTATACATTTATATCCTGTATACTATAACATTTGTATCTTATTTCTTATGGCTTGATCTCCGGAATGATTCATAATACAGTTCTTTACCCTTATCCATCTATCTTCCATTTCTCTCATTCTATTTTCATTTATTTTTAAATCATTTAATTTCACATTCATAATTTCAAATTCCATTTACTTCACCATATATTGGTACCATTTATTTACTGTCCATTTTGATTTATCTTTACACCCTAATACTATTACTGCCTGTGCACATTCTATTATTGCTTCTTTTATTTCCCTTTTATTTCCCGTTTCCTCTCTTTTCCCAATATAATCCAGATTATCAAAGCAGATGATCCACATTATCTTTTTTGAACTGGATTATATGAGGCCTCTTTTTCGCTGCCGTATAATCCCAGTTATTAAATCAGATAATCCACATTATCTGCTTTGTACTAGATTATATAAATCTCTACTGCCATATAATCCAGATCAAACTTGACAGGAAACATCTGCAGTGTTCTCCCAATATTTGGACACCCCTGGTTTTGTATTGGGTGGATTTAAGTTGCATTTTTTGTTGAAAATCTTAATTTAGAAATCACACATGTGGAGGGACAACTGGATTTGCTGTATGCTGGGTCTCAAATGGGATCCAGTCCCCCAAAGAGCAAAACTTTTGCGCGCACTCACCTTTCCAGACCTCTCCAAATTGCCCTGCTCCCAGCTTCTCCTCCAACTTGAGGTTCTCTCGGGGCACCTCCCATTCATCCTGCCACCAAGGCTTCTGGGGCTTCTGGGTCTGGCAGGGTTTGCCCAGCCGGGTGCAAAGACCGTCTGTGTTTCCTGCAAAAAGGGTCGAAAGAGATGCTTGAGAAAGAATGCACCAAAAATACTTTTTGAACTCCTGCTCAGATCTGGTTCTCATTAGAGTGGAAATCAGTTTTGCATTTGAATTCAATTTGTGTCAATGGAAAAAAGCTGAGGAAGAAGCGGGAGGAAAGAGAACCCGGGACATTTGAAAGGCACCTGAGAAAATGGGATGATAGAGGATTCACCAGGACTATTCCACCCAAAAGTTTTAATATATGTATTTTATGGTATGTGTTTTCGACTATGTTGTACCCTGCCTTAAGGAAAAGTAGCCAGTTTATTATTATTATTATTATTATTATTAGAAACACCACAAGATGAGTCCACAGCAGACACTCTGCTGGCTGTTGTTACACGTCGGACACTTTCCAAGTGTCTAGGACTGTGTGATGTATCGGCGAATAATGCGTGCAGATTCCAGTAAGGTGGCCTTTTGCAGCTGGCAGATGGTAATTTTGTCAGCGCCAATTGTGTTTAAGTGCAGGCCAAGGTCTTTAGGCACTGCACCCAGTGTGCCGATCACCACTAGGACCACCTTTACTGGCTTGTGCCAGAGTCTTTGCGGTTCGATCTTTAAATCCTTATATCGTGTCTACTACTACTACTACTACTACTACTACTACTATTATTATTATTATTACACTATGTAACAAAATTTGAAAACAATTCTGTTCCTGGTTTGAAAGTGTTATTCCTATTTAACTGTGCAGTACTTACTTTGCAAGTAGTTGCTGTACTCCAGAAACTTTATTTTTGTGCCTGCCACAAACTAGGTTGCATTGGTTGAGACTCAGGTGAGATGGTCATTGGTAAACTAGAGCAAAATGTGCTGCAGGATATCCCTCCCGCACAAAAATGAAGCATTTGCAATTTAACTAACTTTTCCCATGTTTTTATGATAAACCCAATTAGGAAACGGCATTTATAACTCAAGAACAAAATCGTGTTACATAGTGCTATTTATTATTATTATTATTATTATTATTATTATTATTATAATATCAGGAAAGGCTGGAAACCACTGCTATAGACCATGCAGCTACATGTAAAAACTGGGCACGATCCAATGGCCCACATCCCAACCCATAGATGGGGCAGAGACAAGGGGGCACATGGCCTTCTTTGCCAGCCTTACGCATATAATGCTCCACCAGGTTGTGGAGGCTGTCGAAGGTGATGCGCGGGGAGATGTAGAAGCCACCGTTGTCCATGTTGCGGATCTTGTAGTGCTTCACCACTTCCCCTTGGTCCTGGTCAAAGTCCCGGACAGAGAGGCTGAAGGAGCCTGAAACACACACAAAGGAGAGCATCAATGCCCTATCACTTTAACTGTATATTTTGGAAAAAAAATTGTTCCTGGTTTGAAAGTGTTATTTCCTGTTTAATTGTGTGGTCCTTACTTTGAAAGTAGTTGATCTACTCCAGTAACTTTGTTTTTGGGGCTGCCACAAACTAAGTTGAGTTGTTTGAGACATTGAAAAACTAGAGCAAAATGTGCTGCAGGATGTCCCTCCCACAATAATGATGTTTTTGTAGTTTAATAAACTTTTTCCATGTTTTTATGAGAAAAACCAATTAGGAAATGACATTTATAACCCAGGAACAAAAATCATGTTACCTAGTGTAATACTATTACTCCTTTGGCAGAGCCAAGTAAAGGTAAAGGTTTCCCCTGAAATTAAGTCTAGTTGTGTCTGGGGGGTGGTGCTCATCTCAATTTCTAAGCCGAAGTGCCAGCGTTGTCCATAGACACCTCCAAGGTCATGTGGCTGGCATGACTGCATGGAGCGCTGTTACCTTCCCACTGGAGCAGTACCTATTGATCTACTCACATTTGCATATTTTCGAACTGCAGGTTGGCAGAAGTTGGGGCTAACAGCAGGAGCTCACCCTGCTCCCCATATTCGAACCGCTGACCTTTCGCCTCCAGGGAGAGACAAAGTTGGGTATAAATCCTAACAATAACAATAAAAATACTACTACTACTCCTTTGGCAGATAACAAGTCAAGTATATATCCTAACAGTAATAACAACATACTATTGATGTTGATGATGATGATGATGATGATGATGATGATGATGATGATGAGTGAGCCTTCTCGGCCTAATAGGGCCTCAAAGTACGACTCTTACAATTCCATAGCATGAAGCCATGGCAATTAAAGTGGGGCTAAACTGCATTAATTCTACTATGTAGATGCACACCTACATGTGAGGCATCAGTACATACATATACTAGTACTGGGCCTGTTTGCAATTCTCTGCTGTTACCTTTGGTCGATTCGCTCTCCCGGATGAGGAAGGCCCCGTGTGTGTTGCCCGCGGTCAGGAGCTGTCGCTCGGCATCCTTCCTGCTTAGCGCTTTGAAAAACCAGCTGCAAGAAGCAACCAACGCACAGCAATCGTCAGGTTTGGTTATTGCGACAAAACCCTTTGGGTGCAAACCCAACGGGGCCAGAAACCTATCAAAGCCTATCAAAAGCATGTAAGGTTTGCAAAGATGCATTCCCATTATAGTTGAGTCATGAATCAAAATAGAACCTTATAGAACGTCTCCCCTCCAAAGACCAACCAGGGTTAACCCTGCTTAGCTTACAACTTCAGATTAGCTCTGGTACATTTAGTCTAGGAAAAGCATGTTTGCAAAGATGCATGTTTATGTGAAGCATGAATGTGCTGTGTCTCCATTAATTAATATCTTCAATGGAATTTGCAAATAAGGTACAAAGAAAACCAGAGGTGGTTTAACCGGTCTTTCCTCTGAGATACAGCTAGCAGCAGCTGGGATTTGTAGCACATAAGTAAATTTGGCCATTGCATTATTGCAATGCCATGATTAAAAAAACAGTCCCAAAGATTTATAATTCACCAAGGACTCAAAAATATGAGGGTTGAATGAAAAGTAATGCCTCCACCTTTGCTACTTGGGTTTGGACGGGAATATTTTAATAAATTAAAGCAGAAATAATCCTTAGAATGTGCTCTTTAACTACCACTATTCACTTTTCGAGATAATCAACAGACAATTGGATACATTTCTGCCAACGATTAACAAGTTTTCTGAAACTGTCACGAAAGAAGTCGACGCTCTGTTTCCACAACCCATCATGCACAGAACTTCTGATAGCCAAGCAAAGCAATAATGTGACCCACACATTCTTGTGAAATGCCGATTATGCTTGAAATTTCTCTCTGAGTGATACGACCCAAGAAATGGGGGGAGCCCCATCCCTGGAGTTGTATTATGAGGCATGCCATATTGCTAAATTAATAGAACTGGAACTGGAAGGGGAAAAAATGGGTGAAATTAGAGAAATAATTAAATGATTGGAAAAAGCGCTCATTTATGGGAGAAAAAATTGATTAAAAAAGAGCTTAAAAATGAAGAGATGGCCCCCTCCTCTCAACACTGCAGGTTTGGAAGAAATGGCAAAATAAATTACAAATAAATAAAATAGATCTCTTTCCACTAGAAACCCTGGAAAATAAAGATAATACATTTAGGAATTTAATCAGGTCCCTGAAAGAGAATGGAGTAAAGAAGGTTGGAGACCTCTTGGAACCTAATGGAGATATTAAAAAATGGGATAAGATAAAGGATAAATGTGACTTAAAGTATTGGATAGTTTGGTTAAGTTTGTCACAAAAAGCACAAGAAATAAAAAAGAAAGAAACATCAGATGCCCCACTGGATAGAATAATTGGCTGGAAAATGGAAAAAGAGAAAGGCATTATAGGGGAAATATATAAGGAACTAATAGCCTTATGCTATAATACAAAACATACTTTAGTAGAGGCCTGGAAACAGGATATAAACTTCAATGAAAACTTAGTAAACTCCTGGATTGATAAAACCCAAAAAATTAAACATCTAAGAATAAAAGAAACACAAAAGAAAATAATTTCAAAATGGTATAGGACTCTCTCTCAATTGTTTCACATTATGAAAAAAATTTCTAACAAATGCTGGCATAAATGCGGGGAGATTGGTACTTTTTCACACATGTGGTGGGACTGCTGTGAAATCCAAAAATATTATAATATTGTTAGAGAAGTAATAGAGGAAATAATAGAGCATTGGAATAAAGCTCGATTTCTGTCCCTCACCATAGAGGTAAAGGAGGGGAACAATGAATGGTCAGATATATTGAAATGTATGATAGCCGCGATACATGCCACAATCGTCAGAGGTTGGAAAGATAAAACAAGGTGGGACTTGAAAACCTGGTGGTCTTATCTCTCTGAATATTTAATTAACGATTACATCTATGAAAAGAAAAATAAATATTTGAATATTCAGCCAAGACAAGATTGGTTTAGGAAATTGTCTTGTTTAATCGACAAAACGGAAGGAAAAGATAGGTACAGAACTTTAAATCAGGCCTTCCAGACAATTAAATCAATGTATTGATTCAGGTAATCCAGACGGGGGTGGGAGGGAGGCGGGAAGAGGGTGGTAAGGGTGGGTGGATGGGATGGGGAGTTTAGAGGGGTTAGCAATCAAGATATACGGTAAAGGGAAGCACAATTGGAACCTGTATCCTAGCCATAAAAATTGTAAACAGTTTTTGATGTTATCATTTAGATGGCTAAGGTTCGTATTGTATTGCTATCAGTATGACGAAATTAAAATAAAAAAAACAAAAAACATCAACACAATCACCCATACACAGCTTGCATTCTCTGATGAATCTCCTTTGGGGTGACACCTTCTGCTGTCAAGAATTCAATGACTGCATGTTGCTTAAGTCGCATTGACTGACTGTCTGTGCAGAGTTCCATACTTTGCACTTTAACAACACAACTGTTCAATGCTAAGGCTTCCCGCCAAAATGGAACTGTAGAGGATAGTCTACTGAACAAGCCAGTACCTGCCACATACAAGTACTGCCATCTGTTGAGGGGTTATGAAGGTGGGAGCATTACTTTTCATTCAACCCTCGTACATATATGATTTTTCCCTTTTTTTAAAAAAAAGACCCTTTCCAGACTTTTGTGGGCTCAAAACATCAGAAGATCAAGACAAAACCAGCAACAGCTATCATATCTAACCCTTTAATACAGTGTATCCATTCTTCATGACTTTCTATACAACTTTTATCTTTCTGTATAATATATCTATTTCATATATATACAATGTATAAACTTCTTTATCAGAATATCACCAGATAAGCCCAGAAGTATTCATCTCCCTGCTAAGAGATTTCCTGGACAGGAAGGGTGGGCCAACCCCTTGGGCCTTTTTCCAATTAACAATTAACAAGCCCATTGTTAATGTGTATAAAGAGATAGGTGATTTCCTGCCAGCCGGAGAACCTGTTTGGCCCCTTCTACACTGCCAAATGAAATCCATATTATCTGCTTTGAACTGGATTATATGGCAGTGTAAAAGGGGCCTTAGGTTAAGATAAAGATTTTCCTCTGTCATTAAGTCCAGTCATGTCCAACTCTGGGGGTTGGTGTTCATCTCCATTTCTAAGCCAAAGAGCCGGCGTTGTCCATAGACACCTCCAAGGTCATGTGGCCAGCATGACTGCATGGAGCGCCATTATCTTCCTGCTGGAACAGTATCTATTGATCTATTCACGTTTGCATGTTTTCGAACTGCTAGGTTGGCATAAGCTGGGGCTAACAATGGGAGCTCACGCCGCTCCCCGGATTCGAACCTGCGACCTTTTGATCAGCAAGTTCAGCAGCTCAGCGCTTTAACCCACTGCGCCACTGCTCCATAGAGGGGACTGCCTTAGTATAGCTATATAGTTCACACGAAGCTGAGAGATTGCTGCAAAAACAAGGGTTTATAATGTGCACGTGTTCCATCTCTTTATTGACAGCCAAGCCTTTGCGTACCCAAGATCAACCTCTCTATCTTACACCTTTGTTTTCTAATAGAGTAGAGTCTCGCTTATCCAACATAAATGGGCCGGCAGAATGTTGGATAAGTGAAAATTTTGGATAATAAGGAGAGATTAAGGAAAAGCCTATTAAATGTCAAAATAGGTTATGATTTTACAAATTAAGCACCAGAAAAGGCAGTTCAATACACGGTAACGTTATGTAGTAATTACTGTATTTACAATTTTAGCACCAAAACATCGCAATGTGTTGAATCAGCTGTGGATCAGGGCAGGAGGCAGACGGCGTTGGATAATACAGAACGTTGGATGAGTGAAGGTTGGATAAGCGAGACTCTACTGTAGTTCCTATCTTTGACATAAAACTAGGCATTGGAGCTTATCAGAAGCCCATCTCCATATCTTTACCCTTTGTTTTCCCAGATTGCGCCCTCCCAAGGGGAATCCCTGCTGCTGATTCATCCTTCACTCTGACCAATCCCCAGCTACCATTCTCCCCTACCAGCCAATCCTAGCACAGATCTGAGCCAGCCTCTTTTCTGGCCAATCAGGGGAGAGGGAGGGAAGTACGAAGTGTATAAGACAGGCATAAGCAAACTTTCTACTTTGGGGGTTGTATGCTAGCACTTCCTGCTAAGAGGACTGGCTACCCAGTGATGGAAGGAAGGGAGGGAAGGAGGAAGGAAAAAGAGAAGGAAGAAAAGACAAAAGGGAAGAAAGGAGAAAGAGGGATGGAAGGATGAAAGGCTAGAAGGGAAGGATATAAGGTGAAAGAGGGAGAGAGGGAAGGAGGGGGAAAGAAGAAAGGAAAGGCAAAAGGGATGGAGGGAAGGGAAGGATGAAAGAAAGAGAGAAGGAAGGAAGGAGAAAGAGGGAGAGAAGGAAGGAAGGAAAGAAGGAAGGAATTAAGGAAGGAAGGAGGAAGGAAAGGAAGGAAAGAAGAAGGAATTAAAGAGTGTATGATAAAATGAGTGAAAAAGATTGGAGGAAGTACGGGGAAACGGTGGAAAGAGAAGGGGGAGGGAGGGACGAAAGGGTGGACTGGAAAGAAGGAAGGCCAAAAGGGTGTAAGGGATTGGCTGTAGGAGAGGTGTTGATTGGACGGAAACAGAGAAGCAGAAGACAAGAAAGGGTGGAAGGAAGGAGAGGGAGGAGGGAAGGGAAGAGGGAGGGAGAAAGAGAGGAGAGGAAGGTGAGAAGGAAAGAAAGACAAAAGGGAAGAAAGAAGCAAGGAAAGAAGGAAAGAAGGAAGAGGGAGAGGGTGAAGGAAGGAGGAAAGGGTGGAGGGAAAGAAGGAGGAGGAAGAGAAAAGAGGAAGGACAAAGGATGGAAGTGAAGGAGAAAAAGGGAAGGGAGGAGGAAGGAGAGAAAGACGGCCAGAGGGTGTAATGAACTTGAAGTCGGGACAAGATGAGGGGGGAGAGGAACACAGAGAAGAAGGAAAGCCAAATAATTAATTATAGATGGAGAGAGGGAAGTAGGGAAGACTAAAGTGTGTAAGATTGAATGAAGGAGAAAGGGGATGAAGGAGGAAGAGGAGATCAATGGAAATATATGTGAAAATACAAAATGAATTAGAGACTAGACAAATTAATTAATTATTATTATTTTAATTTGTTATGTATATAATTACTTACTGTAAATAGTTTAAGTTGTAAGTAAGTAGACAGGTTAGGTAATGATAAGATTTTAAGTATATGTTTTAATATAATGGAGGTATTATAAGAAGTAAATACAACAATTATTCTTTATAAATATGTAGAAAATTAATAGATTTTGAGAGAAGTATGAATGGAAGACGAAATATGTGTAAGTTTGAAGGAAATATTGAAGTAATGAAGAAGGTGGAGAAGAGACGTGGAATTAATTATGGTTTTCATATAATTGATTTATGTAAGTTATAATTAATTAAATATCAACACGTCAGTACATTATAAATGGTTATTTTATTAATTGAATTATTAATTAATTAATTACTCAGGATATAATTATTTATTTATTAGTTAATTAAAATGAAATGAAGGAGGAAGGAAAAGAGAAAAGTAAGGAAGGACAGGATGATGAGAGAGAGGGGGGCCTGAGAACAGAACCCAAGGGGCCACAACCAGCCCCCAGGCCCATACCTGGTATCAGATATCTTGTATTTCTCTGTATGTTTATGCTTGTACATTTTGAAGCCATACTTGCATCCCTTTTGGCCAAATTGAACAAACCTCTGCAGCTTGTCTTCAACTTGGTTTCTCTGTCCTGGTCTATCTGGTTTTTAGCATGCGCTTTACTAGGCATGGATCCTCTTTAACTGCAATCCTAGTTCACCGCAACAGTTTGAAATAGAGCCTATAATGCATAGTCGTTATTGGTGATCTCCCACCCAACAATGAACCAGGGTGGACCCTGCTTAGCTTCCAAGTTCAGATGGAATCTAGCACCTTTCTGTGTGCCTTGAAGTTGCCCATTGACCATGAATTTCATAGGATTCTTTTTGAATTCTATCTGTTTTGATAATCTGGATTATATGGTAGTGTAGAAGGGGTCTATGACATAACTTTTCATTGAATCCATTAATTAAAAAGGTTTGCTACAAGTTGACTGAGGAAGAAGATTTTCTACTCACGGCTCTTGCTCCAGACTGTTCAGCTTGGCCACGAAATTGGACGGGATGTAGCCCACACTCCCTGTGGTCAGCGACTGGGCCTTCCACCACTCCCCAGCCCTATTTAGGGAGAAGGAAACCTCTTTAATTCCTATCCCAAATTGTCCAAAGAAGAGGGACACTGTTTGGTCACATTTCCTGGGTCATTTTGGTGGTCAAAAGACCAATTTTGCACCATTGGAAAGACAAACGCCAACCTTCGGTTATCAAATGGAAGGGGCAGTTTAGAATGGTAATTATTGGAATATCTGAGCACAAATTAGGGTTACTCTCTAGAATATGCAACATAGAATTGTCCTTCTTTAGGGGTCCCTTTCAAATCTATGATACTATATCTGTGTGTGTGTGAATGGTATCTATCTATCTATATCTATGGCTGGATGGCTCTTTGTCAAGAGGGCTTTGATTATGTTTTCTTGCCCTGATGAAGGGAATTGGACTTAATGGCCTTAAGTATTTTCTGTTGGTCAGGGGGGTTCTGTGTGGGAAGTTTGTCCCAATTCTGTCGTTGGTGGGGTTCAGAATGCTCTTTGATTGTAGATGAACTATAAATCCCAGCAACTACAACTTCCAATGTCAAGGTCTATTTCCCCCAAACTCCATCTGTGTTCATATTTGGGCATATGAAATATTCGTGCCAAGTTTGGTCCAGATCCATCATTGTTTGAGTCCACAGCACTTTCTGGATGTAGGTGAACTACAACTCCTAAACTCAAGGTCAATGCCCACCAAACCCTTCTAGTCTTTTCTGTTGGTCCTGTGTGCTAAGTTTGGTTCAGTTCCATTGTTGGTGGAGTTCAGAATGCTCTTTGATTGTAGGTTAACTATAAATGCCAGCAACTACAACTCCCAAATGACAAAATCAATGTTTTTTTAAGTGAAGGTCATTCTTTGGGTTAGTAGGTGTCTTATGGCCAAATTTGGCGGCAAATCGTCCAGTGGTTTTTGAGTTATGTTAGTCCCACAAACGAACATTACATTTTTATTTATATAGATGTAAAACTTGTAAAACTTGTTCCTAATAGGACTCCTAAGTGTCCCTTATTATAAGGTGTCTGCTGTTTAAGGATTCGAACGCTTGTCCCTTGTTGTACTCCCAATTAAAGGTTTTCCCCTGACATTAAGTGCAGTCATGTCCGACTCTGGGGGTTGGTGCTCACCTCCATTTCTAAATCAAAGAGCCAGCGTTGTCCATAGACACCTCCATGGTCATGTGGCTGGCACTTCTGCATGGTATGCAGTTAACTTCCCACCAAAGCGGTATCTATTGATCTACTCACATTTGCATGTTTTCGGCCTGCTAGTTTGGCAGAAGCTGGGGCTAACAGCAGGAGATCATGCCACTCCCGAAATTCGCACCTGCGACCTTTTGGTCAGCAAGTTCAGCAGCTCAGCGCTTTAGCCCACTGTGTCACCGAGGGCTTCCAAGTATCTCTTATTATAAGAGATGTCCCTTATTTAAGATTGGAAAGCTGTCCCTTATAGAACTCCCAAGTGTCCATTATTGAAAGGTTGGAAAACCACGGAAAGCCAAAGACCTTATGAAACTACAACCCCCAGAATTCCCTAACACTGAGCCATGGCAGTTAAAGTGGTGTCAAACTACATTAACTGTACAATGTAAATGTGCGTTTTGTTGACCCACAAAGCAAGCACTTTCTGTAGGGAAAGGGACTTACTCTTCCAGGACCCGCAGCTGTTCTCCCGTCCGGAGCACGAGGTCTCCTTCGTGGGTCGAGTCATAATCATACAAGGCAACCACCAGTTTATCTTTCCAAGAAAAGAAAAGAAAATTAGCATTTGCCCCAAAGGCGAAAGAGGCTTCTGTGCCTACACGCTGCTTCCGATTTATAGCAACACAAAAGCAAGAAAGAAAATATCTTGGAAAAGTTTGTTCAGAAGAGCTTTGTCCTTGACTTCCTTTGGGGCTGAGAGAGTGTGACTCGCCCCATTTGTTGAGGAGGATCAGAAATTGGATTACATGGCAGTGTAGATCCAGCTGTGTGCTCCATCTTCACTGCCATATAGAATCCAGATTATCTACTTTGAACTGGATTATATGGTAGTGTAGACTCTTATAATCCAGTTCAAATCAAAATCTGGATTATCTGATCTAATAATATGGATTAGATGGCAGTGTAGATCCAGTCTCAGTCCCCTTCTACCCTGCCATATAAAATCCGGAATATCTGTTTTGAACTGGATTAGATGGCAGTGTAGACTCATATAATCCAGTTCAAAGTACAGTATGTATATTGTAGTGTAGACTTATATGAGGGTTGAATGAAAAGTAATGCCTCCACCTTCGTAACTCCTCAACTGATGGCAGTACTGGTATGCAGCAGGTACTGGCTTGTTCAGTAGACTCTCCTCTACAGTTCCATTTTGGCGGGAAGCCTTAGCATTGAATGGTTGTGTTGTTAAAGTGTGAAGTATGAAACCCTGCACAGACGGTTGGTCAATGCAACTTAAGCAACTTGCAGTCATTGAATTCTTGACAGCAGAAGGTGTCACCCCAAAGGAGATTAATCAGAGAATGCAAGCTGTTTATGGTGATTGTGTTGATGTGAGTACTGTTCGTCCTTGGGCGAGTTAGTTTAAAGATGTTGAGATGACACCTTCTGCTGTCAAGAATTCCATGACTTCACGTTGCTTAAGTCTCATTGACCGACCGTCTGCACAAGGTTCCATACTTTGCACTTTAACAACACAGCTGTTCAATGCTAAGGCTTCCCGCCAGAATAGAACTGTAGAGGAGAGTCTACTGAACAAACCAGTACCTGCCGCATACCAGTACTACCATCTGTTGAGGAGTTACGAAGGTAGAGGCATTACTTTTCATTCAACCCTCGTATAATCCAGTTCAAAGCAGATCATGTGGATTATATGACAGTGCAAAAGAGGCCATATATGCACTTTGGGTGCATCTACAATGTAGAAATAATGCGGTTTGAAACCACTTCAACTGCCGTAGCACAATGCTTTGGAATCATAGGAGTTGTAGTTTTGCAAGGTCTTTTGCTCTTAGTTCCAAATTGGTACTGGGGCCTCACAAAACTACAACTCCCAGGATCCCATAGCACTGGGCCATGGCAGTTCAAAGTGGTGCCAAAGTACATCAATTCCGCAGTCTAGATGCACTTTTTAATATGAAAGATGGTGTTGGAAATACAGATACAGCACTGCCATTATAAGGAACACATTAATGTGGGCATCAGCAGATTTAAGACCCCTTTTGCTCTGTATTGCCTTAAGAGTCCAAAGGATCAGATCCTAGTTCTTTCATTCTCTAGTCTTTAAAGTGAGATGGAGGAATCTCTGCACAAGGGCATTGTCTTGAAAAGCATATATGTAATTATTACATTTCCATTTCTGCTGCCCCACACAATTCAACTACCTGAAGATGGAAGAGGTGGAAGGGTGGTGATTGTATGTATTTACCTTGAAGAGGTGAACTCGGAGGAGGCGTCATTACATCGGGAGACAAAAGAGGGTTGTAAAACTCGGAGCCATTCAAAGCCGGCCTCTGTAAACAAACAAACAAATAAACACCAAATATTCTTTCATGGCCAGGTTTTCCAACAAACTGGATCTCATGCTGAAGTTATTAGATCTTGGTATTTCAACTGCGTTCTATTCTGCCTTGAGCCATGCGATACTGTTTTATGGTTTTATGTATTACTGTTTTAATTATTGCTGTTTATGATTTTACTTTTGTAATTGTTATGTAGCGGCATTGCATCGCTATCATATGTAAGTCATCCTGAGTCCACCTTCGGGAGTAGAGAAGAGATGGAATAGAAATACTAGAAATAAATAATAATAATAATAATAATAATAATAATAAGCATAAGGGGGTAGCAGTTGTTGTTGTTGTTGTTGTTGTTGTCGTTGTCGGATTTGCAAAGTCTTCAGCCTCCTCTTATGCCTCCCCAAATGACAACTCTGAGGATTACATCATATTATTATTATTATTATTATTATTATTATTATTATTTTAAACACAAGATTAGTACACAGCAGAGAAGATCACTATGCTGATTGTTGTATTGGATCACACGTCGGACACTTCCCAAGTGTCTAGGACTATGTGATGTATCAGCGAATAATGTATTGTTGTTATTATTATTATTGGGTTTACAAGGTCTTCAGCCTTCTCTTGTGTCTCCCCAAACTACAACAAGGATTCCATTTCATTATTATTGCAATGTACCAAAACCAAGATTGCAAAAACATCTGTTATAGAACTCCAGTATGCTGATGATAACGTAGTCTGTGCACATTCAGAATAAGTCCTACAAGCCATTCTAAACACCTTTGCAGAAGCATACGAGTAGCTCGGCCTCTCATTGAACATCAAGAAAACCAAAGTGCTCTTTCAGCAGTCACCAGCCAATCCCTCTGCAATGCCAGAAATACAGCTTAATGGTGTAACATTAGAAAATGTTGACCATTTCCACTATCTTGGCAGCCACCTCACCACAAAAGTCAACATTGACACTGAAATACAACATCACCTGAGCTCTGCGAGTACAGCATTTTTCCAAATGAAGCAGAGTGTTTGAGGATCGGGACATCTGTAGGGATACCAAGGTGCTTGTTTATAAGCCATTGTCCTCCCGCCCCTGCTATACACCTGCGAAACGTGGATTGTCTACAGACATCATACTTCCATCAGCGTTGCCTCTGAAAAATCCTGCAAATCTCATGGGAAGACAGGCAGACAAGTGTCAGCCTATGCCATCAACTCTGCTGGACTGGCCACGTTGTCCGAATGACCGATCACCATCTCCCAAAGTAGTTACTATACTCACAACTCAAAAATGGAAAACGTAATGTTGGAGGACAGGAAAAGAGATTTAAAGATGGGCTTAAAGCCAACCTTAAAAACTGTGGCATAAACACCAAGAACTGTGAAGCCCTGGCCTTTGAGCGCTCTAACTGGAGGTCAGCTGTGACCAGCAGTGCTGAGGAATTAGAAAAAGCATGAATGAAGTGAGAAAGGGAGAAACATGCCAAGAGGAAGGCACGTCAAACCAACTGCGACCGGGACTGCCTTCCACCTGGAAACTGATGTCCTCACTGCGGAAGAACATGCGGGTCAAGAATAGGTCTCCGCAGCTACCTACAGACCCACAACCAAAACACTACACTTAGAAGACCATCATCCTCCAGCTACGAGGGATCGCCTAAGTAAGTAAATATTATTAGTATTATAAGTAGTATTAGTGTTATTGGATTTGCAAGGCTTCCAGCCGTCTCTTGGGTCTCCCCAAACTACAACCCTGAGGATTCCATTGCATTATTATTAATTATTATTATTGTATTTATTTGCTATATATATATATCCGGCTTTATCTCTCCAAAAAGAGACCAAAAGTAGCTAACAACACTAAAAATAATAATGTTTTCATGATAGCACCAACTAGAAAATTATATTTATAACACAATAATGTTATGTTGTGTTCTTAGCCATAGCATCCTGGCTGGGTCTGCCAAGCCTGGAGTCATCGCAGTCCAGGTGGTACCAAACTGCATTAACTCTCCAGTGCAGATGCAAAACCTCTCACCTGGGGCTTGGTGTCTGGGTCGATGGGATAGTGACAGGTCTGGCAGATCTCCAGGTCCCCTTCCTCCCAGCCCTCATCACAGTCCAAACTGCAGCAGCAGCCCATGCTTCTGGTGCACGACAGCAACGCAAGGGACACTGAGGCCCAGCTCCCTGCGCAGGCTTTCGTCTTCTGCAAAAAAAGAAAGATATTGGAAAATCAATAGGACTTTCAAGAGGTTCCCCAAAACGCCTGAGCAGAGCCAAGGAACAGAGACCAACACAAGCCATGTCATAGGGTGCATCAACATTGTGGAATGAATACAGTATAGCACCACTTTAAATCGCTCAGTGCTATCGATAGGAGGTCATTAAAGGCCCCATCTATACAATTTGGACCATCTGCTTTTAACTGGATTATATGGCAGTGTACTGCCATATAATCCAGATTGATTGATATATATATATATATATATATATATATATATATATATATATATAATCATAATCCTGAACTGGTGCTTGGCTGCTGTGTCGGACTGGATGAGGGCGAACAAATTGAAATTGAATCCAGACAAGACAGAGGTCCTCCTGGTCAGTCGAAAGGCCGAACAGGACATAGGGTTACAGCCTGTGTTAGATGGGGTTACACTCCCCCTGAAGACGCAGGTTCGCAGCTCGGGTGTGATCCTGGACTCATCGCAGAGCCTGGAACCCCAGGTTTCGGCGGTGACCAGGGAAGCGTTTGCACAGTTAAAACTTGTGCACCAGCTGTGCCCGTACCTTGGCAAGTCTGACTTGGCCATGGTAGTCCACGCTCTGGTTACATCCCGTATAGACTACTGCAATGTGCTCTATGTGGGGTTGCCTTTGAAGACGGTCCAGAAGCTTCAACTAGTCCAACGAACGGCAGCCAGATTGCTAACAGGAGCGGCCCTCTTGTTGTGCCAGCTCCACTGGCTGCCGGTTTGCTACCGGGCCCAATTCAAAGTGCTGGCTTTGGCCTTTAAAGCCCTAAACGGTTCTGGCCCAATTTACCTGTCCGAAAGCATCTCCCCTTATGAACCTTCAAGGACCCTGAGGTCATCTGGGGAGGCCTTGCTCTCAGTCCTGCCTTCGACACAAGCACATCTGGTGGGGACAAGAGACAGGGCCTTCTCAGTGGTGGCCCCTCAGCTATGAAACACCCTCCCTAGGGAGATCAGATCGGCTCTCTCCCTACTAACGTTTCGGAGGCAAGTTAAAACATGGCTATTCAAGCAAGCGTTTACAAATACAGAGTAAACGACATAGGAAATTGAATGACTTGATGACGGAATTGGACAATGCTTGATAATAAGGAGACGCTAATGTTATTGTTATTATTATTGTTGTTTTATACTGTTTTAATGTTTTAACTTGTTTTATGATATTATATGTACTGTTTTGTTGGAAACCGCCTTGAGTCGCCGATTGCCTGAGAAAGGTGGTATACAAATACAGTAAATAAATAAATACATATCAAAGCAGGTCATCCACATTATCCGCTTTGAATTGGATTATACAAGTCTACACTGCCATACAATCCAGTTCAAAGCAGATAATCCAGATTTACATGGCAGTGCAGATGGGGCCCCAGTTCAAAGCAGATAATCTGGATTTTATATGGCAGTTCAGATGGGGCATCATATAATCCAGTTCAAAGCAGATCATGACCCCTTTTACACTGCCATATAAAATCAAGATTATCTGCTTTGAACTGGATTATATGGCAGTGTAGACTCATATAATCCACTTCAAAGCAAATAATGTGGATTATCTGCTTTGATAAACTGGGTTATATGGAAGTGTAGAAGGAGCCAATGTTGATTTTATATGGTAGTGTAGAAAGGGTCTCATATAATCTCTTCGATCATCTGGAGAGGCCCTGCTCGCGTTCCCACCACCATTGCAAGCGCGATTGGTGGGGACGAGGGAGAGAGCCTTCTCGGTGGTGGCCCCTCGACTCTGGAACTCACTCCCCGTGGACATTAGGCATGCCCCAACTCTGGCAGTCTTTAGGAGGAGCCTGAAAACGTGGTTGTTTCAGTGTGCCTTCCCAGAATAAGGAAACTCCCAGCAATACGTCCCTAAACGCACTTTACTAGTAATCTAGGTTTGTCTGCACATTTCATCCCTCTCCAAAACTTCTATCCTAGTTATATGTCACCTTGTCATGCCCAGCATTATTTTTAAAATTGTAATTATTACATTTGGCCCAGCCATAGGTTTTTAAACGCGTTGTGTTATTGTTAATGTTTATTGCTTATTTTCTGCTTATGAGTTTATTTATTGTTTTGTATTACTGTTGCTATTGTTTACTGTTGTATTGTGGGCTCAGCCTCATCTAAGCCGCACCGAGTCCCTTGGGGAGATGGTAGTGGGGTACAAATAAAGTTATTATTATTATTATTATATTATTATTATTATTAGTTCAAAGCAGACGTGGTTTATCTGCATTTATAAAGTGGATTATATGGCAGTGTAGAAGGAGCCTTAGAAACAATTTGCAAACTTGCATCGCATTGCAGAAGCAGTGAAATCAGTCACATTTTGTCCTCCAAATCTGAGGGCTAAAGTGATGTCAATGCAGTGACCAAGAGGAAACCCACAATCTTAGCCACAAACTCATGAACCTTAACATTCTAAATATACTAGCTTGGGGACCTGGCAATGACCGGGTTATTTGAAAAGGGCATTTGACGGCTGGGTTTTTTCTTGGCTGGCTTCAGTGCTCTCTGGAGAAGGGTGAACTACAACCAGGCCCGTAGCCAGGATTTCGTTTCGGGGGGGGGGGGGGGGGGGGCTGAATTTTTTTCAGGGCGGTTCGGGGGGGGGGCTGAGTTTCGGGGGGGGGGCTGAGTCTGAGTGAAAGAGGGTAATAGTTTAAATAATGCACCAGTAAGGCCTTTTCGCGAACCACCATGAGAATTTCAGCTACATGCCTGACTACAACTCCTATGTGCCAAGGTCAGTCATCCCGAAACCCTGCCAGTATTCACAATTGGCCATGTTGGGTCTGTGTGCCAAGTTTGGTCCAGATCTAACATTGGCTGGGTCCAATGCTCTTTGAATAAGGGTGAACTACAACTTCCAGATCCAAGGTCAATCACCCTGAAACCCTGCAAGTATTCACAATTGGTCATGTTGGGTCTGTGTGCCAAGTTTGGTCAAGATCCTGAGATCCCGTCGTTGGTTGGGTTCAGGGCTCTCTGGATAAAGATGAACTACAATTCCCATATGCAGAGGACAATCACCCTCAAATCAGGCTTGTATGCACAGTGGGCCATTATGAGTCTCTGTGCCAAGTTTGGCCCAGATCCAACATTGGCTGGGTTCAGTGCTCTCTGGATAAGTGCTAACTACAACGCCCAGATCCAAGGTCAATCACTCCCAAAATAAGGGAAACTGGGACTGTGTTTGGAGCAAAGTGGGAAAATGGGGTGAAATTAGGACATTTTTTCAGCGAGAAGATAAGTATTCCAATCGGTATTTGCCAAATTGCATTACACAGTGATATAACTGATATGGCCTGCACTGCATTATTATATACCAAGCCCTTGCTTCTTAATATTTTGTAATTTGTTTAATTAATATTAACACTTACACCAAAACACTTATAGGTTGAGCATCCCTTATTTGGAATTCTGAAATCCCCCAAAATTCAAAATTGTCCAAACTGTCCAAATGACATTATAATCTTTAATAGTTAATTTATATTTATATTATTACATTTATTTTATGTATGTATGTATTATTTCATTTATTATTATTATTATTATTATTATTATTATTATGCAAAACCTTTGCTTTCTGATGGTTCAGAGGACACTGACTTGACTCCATGCACAAAATTATTAAAAATACGGCGTATAAAATAACCTATAGACTATAATAGCATATAAAATGTATATGAAACACAAAAGAATGACATGTTTAGTCTTACGTCCCATCTCCAAGATAATCACAATTCATATATATACATATCTATATTTATATGGATATGCAAATATAGATATCCCTAACCTCAGGGGGAAATATCCCAAATACTTTTGCTCCCAACCATTTCAGAGACTCAACTTGTATACAGTAATTAGAATATGGCAGCAAATTAATTTAAATAGTAGGGGATACACATGGCTTTGTCACTTTCTCTGATTATGAAAAATAATTAAAATTAACATTATAACATTAATGTTAAGACCAAGCCAGGGGGAGTTGTGTCATGTGTTACGTATTTTAATAGGTTTTTCGTGAATTTAGTTCATTCTTTTTAGTAGTCCTGGGTTCAGTTTTAGTGTTTATATGCTTTAGATTTTTAATTGAACAATACATTGTTTTCACTTCAGTATTTATTGGGTTGCTGTGAGTTTTCTGAGGTGTACGACTATGTTCTAGAAGCATTCTCTCCTGACGTTTCGCCTGCATCTATGGCAGGCACCCTCAGAGGTTGTGATGTCTGTTGGAAACTAGGCAAGTGGGATTTATATATCTGTGGAATGTCCAGGGTGGGAGAAAGAACTCTTGTCTGATTGAGGCAAGTGTGAATGCTGCAATTGATCACCTTGATTAGCATTGGATGGCCTTGCAGCTTGAAAGCCAGACTGCTTCCTACCTGGGGGAATCTGTTCGGAGGTGTTAGCTTGCCCTGATTGTTTCCTGTCAGGAATTCCCATTTATGAGTGTTGTTTTTTATTCACTGTCCTGATTTTAGAATTTTTTTAAACAATGGTAGCCATATTTTGTTCAATGTATTGTCGAAGGCTTTCATGGCCGGAATCACTGGGTTGTTGTAGGTTTTTCCGGGCTATATGGCCATGTTCTAGAGGCATTTTCTCCTGACGTTTTGCTTGCATCTATGGCAAGCATCCTCAGAGGTAGTGAGGTCTGTTGGAACTAGGAAAAGGGTTTTTTTATATCTGTGGAATGACCAGGGTTGGACAAAGGACTCTTGTCTGTTGGAGCTAGGTGTGAATGTTTCAACTGACTACCATGATTAGCATATTGCCTGGCAGTGCCTGGAGCAATCTTTTGTTGAGAGGTGATTAGATGTCCTTGTTTGTTTCCTTTCTGTTGTTGTGCTCTACATAGGGACCACCAAACGCAGCGCTCAAACACGAATCAAGGAACATGAAAGGCACTGCAGACTACTTCAACCAGAGAAGTCAG